TGCCTGCCCTTGCTGGAAGCAAGACACCGAATTGATTTTCTGGAACGTAGCATGTATGTTTGGTATGGACAGTGCTACATGTAGTATTGGCATGTTGCATCAGTATAGCTCGTTACTTGTATGATTTTTTTTTTCGAAAAAACTTTTGATCTATTCATCAATAGTCATGGCAGTACAAAGAACATCAAAAGTAAGAAAAATTACATCCGGGTCTATAGGCCACCTAAGGGCGACTACAATCTCTAGAGCGAGCCGAATGTGCGTCGTCGTCATCATCCCTCCCTTACCGGAACGGACCAAATCTTATTGTGTAGACTGTTGGGACGTTGTCGGTACATCAGAACAATAACCGCCATTGATGGAGAAACGTAGATCGAAAGTATCCAACATACATACACATAGAACGCAGACGAGCGAAGACCGGATTCAAGTAGATCCACCGAAGACAAACACCGGCTGAATCCTGAGAGAAATGCCGGTATACGCTCACCGACGACGCAAGACGCCGCCCGAACAGGATTTAAGCTAATCTATTATATCTCTTGTTTCTTTTGCCGATTAATTATAGGAGCATGTAGAATTATACGAAGAAGCGCATGATTGAGCTGAGCTTTGGAATGTTTTTGTGCCGTGAGTGTAATGATTAGTAGCAAGGCCAATTATGGAATGGTGTAATGTAGACTGACTGGAGCTAGCTCTGGGTATTTTATTTACAATGACCCCATCACCATCAGGATGCATGGGGAGCTTTGTGTCAGAGGGGAACTGCCTGCCTCTGATGGAGAAGAGATGCAGACGCAGATACAAACAATAGAGAAATTACAAGAGGAAGAAGCGGCGAGTGTAACCGTATGATGTACTCCTAGCTAATTATTTAGTGGGAGCTAGCTACGTTGTACACAATGTGAATGTGATGTCTCATCTCATCTCTGGTTTTCCTTTTTTATGGTCAGGGAATGCTTCGTCTAATGTTTATGTATGTAAACAATGACGAGCAGTACGTCACTAAACAAGGACAGTAATTAAGTGGCAAATGGTGGTGCACACCTCAGTATATATGTTGTGCACACATTGATGGTGCTCATCAGTTTGGTTGGATATAAATAATCGTAAACGAAAGCGGTGCTAGAAAGAATGGAAGGAATCATGATCACTTGTGAAATGTGTTGGCGAAGGGTCATGTTTGAAAAGAAACAAACTCATATCCTACAGTAAGTACATACAGTACTCTACGAGAGAATCGCGCTCGCGCTGCCCCCAAGGGGCGGCTCGGGCGAACCCTAGCCGCCGCCACCCCCAACCCACCCCGATCCACCCTTCCCCGCCGTTGCCGGAGGAAGCCGGCGAGCAAAGCTTGTCTGACGGACGGCGGTGGTGGGCTCGGGCGGAATCAGGCTGCGCGCGACGATGACCGTGGGCGCCAGGCGTTGGCGGCGGAGATAGGAGGCTGGAGCGGCGGCTCCAGGGCTTTTCGGCGGGGCTGCGCCTCCAGGCTACTGATGCAGAGCATCCCGTGATCATCCCCATGGACACCACCTCGACAATCCAAGCTCCAAGTGGACCCATGACAAGAGCAAGGGCTCGTGCTATTCAATCCGAGGTGACATCACTCCTACCTGAGCTCCCCTTTTCTTCCAGTGAGACATGGCTACTGCCTAAGTCCGAGATGCTATGCGTGATCAGGTACAGCGCTCAAGCCACGGAGCCGCGAGCTGAAGAAGAAACGACATGCGTCAACTCTCTGGACAGCCCGGAACTTCTGGTCAGAGCCCAGAACTTCCGGCCCCCGGAACGTCTGGCCTACCCGGAGCTTCCGGCCTCCGACGACCTCGACCCGCCCGGGCGTACCAACTCTCTGGTTAGCCCGGAACCTGCCCGGAACCCGGCCCGAACCTTCCGGCCCCCGGACGCCAGCCCAGCTCCACCCGCGCTAACTCTCTGGTTAGGCCGGACCCTGCGCGGAACCTCCGGCGCCCGGAACTTTCGGCCCCACCCGGTACTTCCGGCCCTGCGTGCGCGCAACCACTTGGGCCGAGGCCCGTGTACCCTTTCGCCCCGTAAACTATATATACTCTTCTCCTACCTACGTTTTAGGGTTAGCATTGTGATAGCTCATTTGAGATATAGCATTGCTCATCCGTACCGGATCTACTCCTCGCGAGGGACCGCACCTCTTCGGAGAAGATCCATCCGGATTCAAGGCCTCCATCCGGAGAAGACAATCAAGACCTCCTTCCGGAGAAGAACGGTTACTCTTGTATCGTCCCTTGTTGACTTTGGATCTCGTGTTACTTTGTGCCTCGATGATCTAGCACTTGTGTGATCAATTTCGTGTCGGTTGAGTGTTTCTCTTGTTTTCCCATCGTGATTTCCCTCGTGTTCTTCCACAAGTTCTTCGTGTTCCCCGTAGGACCCTCTCCAAACGTGAAAGATCGGCCCCATAGGGATCCGTCCTACATCATCTTGGTATCATGAGCCACATTGATCACGTTTTTGGAGCCCCTACCCTTTGTTTTCTAGCTTGATTTTGTCGTTTTCATCCTAAATCCGAAAATCCCCACCAAAAATAGCCCCATTTTTTTGTGATTTGTTGGTGTGATGAAGTTTTGTTGGATTTGATCCACGGATCTGCTTTGCATCGAGTGGATCTAGCTTACCCACTCTTCTCCCCCCCCCCTATTTCTTCCTTTTTCCTTTCGGATTTGGGTTTTTCCCCAGGTTTTTCTGCCCAAATCCACGATCCCCAAGTCTCTG